TAAATTATATCGAGTAAAATTTTTAAATTTTGTTATTTATTTTGTATATTATATTAACTTATTTAATATAATATTACATAATAATATTATATCACAATTACATTTTAATGATATTCTTATCTGAATATTTTAAAAGGTATCTATGTGAAATATAAAAAAACATACTAAATGTTTGTTTAACAAAACTGATTTATAAAACATTTAAATTACAAATATATTTATTTAAATTAGAATAAGAGTCGTTCATAAATGCTGGGCACGCGGGAGTTAAAAATGGACGAATTTATTCCACTTTGACTTTGATGTGGAAACCTAAAAATATAATAAAACAATAATGAGCAAATTTAAATTAAAAAATAGCCTAATATATATTCCTCCTATACCTAAGTACCCACAGAAACGTCGCATCTGAAAAAATTTATTTCATAATCTATATTCCATGACACGCTATGTACAATTTTTGTATTAGATATTAATGTATAATACGTATCTTATTAACCGATAAAAAGTTATTCCTTGCTATTGGACATTACTTAAATTATTTGTGCAATATCTAAAAACACACCAAGACATATAATGAGTAAAGTGCGGCGCTAACGCCGCAATTGAATGTTACATCGTATCTAAATGCAGTGTCGCCTCTAGTACGTAGTGCATAATAGCTCAATGGTCTAGTCTTATTTTATTTGTATTTTTAGACATATGATAAAGTAATAAAAAAAATAAACACAAACGAGTATATCGATGTCGATTTGTTGTGAAATAACGTCACACATAATATGTAGGTAATTTGAACTTTTAATAATAATTTCAATTGTAACTACAACAGAGATGTCATATTGCTAGTAAATCAGAAAATTCGAGTGTACTTTTTGGCATAGTATAAAGAGACTAAAGATGACCACTTGACATTTTAATTTACACGCATGAAATTACACATAATATCTTTCTTTTTTTTAAATTTATTAGGATCAACAAACAGTTTACACAATATTTATTAATCTAAAATACATTCATTACAAAAAATATATATAATACCAACATACACCGTTGACCAGTTACTATTAACAAAAATTGAGATTGAGAATAGCGTACAATTTTTTTCATCTAATACAGTGATTGTGTTTTCAAATAACACAATAATAAAGAAAAATAATAATTATTGTAATAACCAATTATATAAACTCATCCTCCTCTAAGTACTGAAAGTAATTATTTTTTATAAATACCCACCTTGTGAGCAAAAATGTCAATATTATTGAAAGTATTATTATAACAATTTAACAACATAATATAATATATAGGTGATCTTTTATCTACGTTGGTTCGACATTTTAGTAAAAAATGTATATTTGGCACGAACTCTGCGACACAATGGCCTATATGTTACTCTGTATTGTATCATCTTATCTAGTTCTATACTATCGTAACTGTTATGACAAATATCATACAGTAACATAGCTTGAATCTGTTGACGTCTGTATTCTAATTTTAGTAAGTTATATTTGACCAGCAGTTGATAGTAGGGTAATTTAACTCGTCTGCACTTGTAATTTACACTACGCAAAAACTATTTCTGAATGGATTCTATTTTATCTATATATTTATTATAATACGAACACCAAATAGCTACCGCATATTCGATTTGTGATCTTATTAAAGATTTATAGAGGTGCAAATAAGTAAGAGGTTTTTTAAATTCACGTCCAATACACATCACGAATCCATAAATTTTAAGAGCCTTTAATGACATTTTCAACATGTGTATCAAAAATAAGTTTACTATCTAATATTATTCTTAAATCTTTAATTTTATGATTTTTTTCTAATGGGACTCCACATAACTCACGCTTACGGGTAAACGCTATGGCTTTACATTTATTAACACTCAAATCTAACTTATTGTGTTTACAGTAAGATGTAAAATTATCTAAATCTTTTTTTTAAAGTTAAGGTGGTCATGATAATATTGAATTTTGCGATAAATTTTTATATCATCTGCGTATAGAATAAAATTACAAAACTTGAAACAACTATTAACATCATTAATGTATATGACAAAAAGAAGAGGCCCTAAGATTCGTCCTTGTGGCACACCAGAACTTATATGCACAATATCTGACTCAAAACCTCTTATAACTACTTTTTGTGTACGATTTGTCACACACGACTTAAACCATCTTCACAAATTACCGCGGATACCATTAAAGGCTAGCTTTTCCAGAAGTAGCTTATGGTCTACGCGATCGAAAGCTTTGCGGAAATCTGTGTATGTGCAATCAGTCTGGACGTTACTATCCAGATTCTCAAATAAGTAGTTTGTATAAATTAATAAGTTAGATATAGTTGAACGCTTCTTGATAAAACCGTGCTGCTGTGGTATTATTATATTGTGAAAACTAGGATATAACGCATTATGTATTAACCATTCAAAAGTTTTAGCGAGTGTTGATAAGATCGATACCGGTTTGTAATTCTCAACATCTTTTTTGAGCCTGTCTTGTAAATTGGGACAACACGAGCTGTTTTCCAAATAGATGGGTATATCCCTTCTTTTAGGCATTTAAAAGGTAATTCAATTCAATTTATTTGCTATTCCTATTGTACATTTGGTCTTGTATTTAAAAAAAATGTTCAAAACAAGAACCCTGCAAGGGCACTGCAAATATAGGCAATTATTAATATTATTATTACATTCACATTATAGTATTATAAAATTATCATTTAATGAATATTTACAATTAACTTAAATATAAAATGGATCATATTATATTATTTATTTGTTTCAATTTCCTACTTCCTACTCAATCACTAAAAAACTCCTGCAACGAGTAATAACATTTTTTCGTTAAATATGTATTAACTTCTTTTTTAAATTTTTTAATGCTTTTAATGCTTCTGATTTCTTCTTCTGATTCATCTGACTGGTGTTTACGATTTGTAATTTTGATGTAACTGTGGATAATTTTAATGTATTGGTTTTGCAATAGTATGTGCTGTAGCTTTCAGAAAATAAGGAGGAATGTTTCAATGAATTTGTCTTGTTTGCCTTATTTGAAAATTTAATTAGAAAAAGCGAGACAAGTATATTGGCTCAATTTATGTACAATTACAGGTTTTCTCCATGCATACGTATGTATGTTATTACACTAAGATGGTTTAACAAATATTAAACACATCTGTCAACTTAGCCATCTGACAAAATAAAACCGTGTGGCCAGTTAGAATAATAAAATGTTGAAGAGAAAGATTACCTACATATTAGGTTTTATATGTCACTCGTTTTACATTAATATACTCATTACACATTTCATGGTATTGCAGTTTATAAAAATAATATAGAGTAACGTCTTAATACCTTTTCAATGTCCCGGTTCTGCGCTGTGCGCCGACACAATTTGAAGAAGTGAGTTTTAGACAACAGTATGGTTAGATCTATTTCACGGTGTAGCGCAGTGTTACCCATGTCCAAGCCATTTAAATTATAGAAACACATACAAATGTGACCGTTCTGATTCCTATTTGATTTGAAAATGTCTTTGATTAAAAAATTACAAAAGAAAGAGATAAGAGAAATACTTTCTATAAGAGTAAGTTTTCGTACATTTATTTTTTACTATAGAAATTTCGTTAGTCTGTGAGTGGCGGCCTTCCTTCATACCGTCAAGTTGTCATACTGAACAATAAAAAAATACGTGTGACACTCGGGGACTGCCGCGGTAAAGCTATTGCATAGCATTTTTATCAACTTATTATAATTGTAATTATTTATTTATTTTATTTACGCAGTATTTTTTTTTCTTTATTAGCAAAAATGCTTGCTCCATGCGGGAATCAAACCCATAATCAGCGACGCTGCATTCGGGTGGTTCAGCCACTGCGCAAAACGTGCCGTATATAAATATAAATTATATACGGCACGTATATATAAATTTAAAAAATATATTTAAGTATAAAATCTGTGTTTATTATTAAATACTCTAAATTCACGAAAGTTGCTAGCATGACGACGACTCATATAAATCCAAAGAATATGCTTTTTGCAATAAACTATATTATTGTTTAAAATATTTTTATCATCTTACAATACATGCAACTAGTCTACACGCATACGTCTAATCGCACGCACACAAACACCGTGCCGAAGTCTGCTGAACTGAATAGACGATGTTAGGTTTTGGGGTCTTAGGTTTATTTTCGTTACGGAATTTCTTGATTCGGTCGCCGCGCTCAAAGCCCGAAAAGCTATGCAATAGCTTAATAAAATAATTTGATATATTATTATATTAAGTTTAAAATAATAAAACTATTTAATATCTAATGCGTGACTAGAAAGTGTGTACCCGTTTTTATGCGTATTGCACTCACAGAGGAGTGTGAGATTTGGCATAGTTGACGTTTACCTATAAGCCTATACTTGCTTGGTGTCAGACTGCAAACGCGTCCGCGGACGGGCGCGGCGCGACGTACTCAAAGCATTACTATTATTATTTATTTAGTACTATTATTTATTCTGTGCTCAAAGCTCAAACATAAAGTCTTCCTTTGAGTGTCCATAGTAGGTTCGTGGACGCGGGGCGGACGCGGTGGCGGGCGCGTGTTAGTTGATGCGGGGAGCGCGCGGGCAATCACGCCATAGCTCGTTCAAACAAGTGGTCTCAGTGAATGCGCGGGCGGCAAGCAGCTAACCTCGCGCGAGGAGCCGGCATCTCAAACCACATCGAGCTTAATGGTGGTTAATATAGCGCATAGCGCCATATTATAGCGCGCTATCTCTCCATAACGCATAGCGCGTGCTATGTAAAGGCTTTGTCAGACAGGACGCGTATTTTAGCGCTGCGTAGTAGCGTTATAGCGTCCCGTTTTAACGTCGCGCGAGGCTTCGTCAAACAGAACGCTATAGCGCGCGTTAGGGCGCTGACTCGATTACACGGCGCCGCCATTTCGCCATTCGCCAAAGCGTAGTGCAGATCGTTAGCAGTGTGAAGAGTTTGTTCGTTATGGAGATGTCGAGTGATTCAGATGTGGAAGAATTATTACTTTTATATGCTTTATCACGGTCACAGAGAAAAAGAGTATGGGTGCACGACATCAATCAAAAGAGAAAGGATTTAGGAGAATATCATCGTTTGTGTCGTGAGCTTGCATCACATGAAGATCGTTTTTTTACATACTTTCGTATGTCTCAAGAATTATTCGTAGAACTACATGAACTGCTCATCCCAAAAATAAGCAAATGTACCACAAACTGGAGGACGCCTATTTCTACAAGAGAAAGACTTGTAATCTGTCTAAGGTAAGAAATATTTATTTTTTTATATACATGTTCATTGCGTTATTATTATGAAAATCAATCAAAATCAGCTGAGTTGTAATCAGATGTCGATGCTCCAAAATTAGTTACATGTAGAATATCGATTTCGCGTAGTGGTTGACGTAGCTGCTCAGGCTGTTGCAGGTATGATGTACTGTATGATAAATCTATAACAGCTACTGGGGATGAATCTTCGGGCACAGAATTGGGTACTGCATAGCAGACGGAGTCTTCGGTACTAATAATGGAATAATGTGGTGAATTCAATATCTGGACATTTTCTTGCAGTTCCTCTGTTTCTATGCTTGCAAATAACTTGGCTAGTTCTACTTTGGCTTTTATCTGTTTGTTCGGAAAAATGTTTGCGCATAACTTTGGAATAGGTGATATATGGCATCATACTCTTGTTTTTTTTTATTTTGAAGAAAATTTATAACTATCCATTTCGCTGTCAGTTTTTTGTGTCATTTGTTTGGGGCGTCTCTAGCGGAGGTGTTTCTGGCGGGGGTGCGCTTTGTGTTCTTGGTGGAGGTGTCTGTGGTGGAGGCGTCTCTGGAGATTGAGTTTCTATAGCTGACGATGTTTCTGGTGTAGGTTCTCGAATATTTGAAGTTGTTTCTCGATCTGTCAGAGTTGAGTCAAGAAACTGTAACTGGGCCCAAGGCCATTTTGTAATTTTTTTGCAGCTTATCCTGTAGTACCTGCAACCTCTTTTTTGTATCTCATATAATTGTCCCTCAAGCTCTTCCATTTTTTTTAGCTACTTCACCTGTAAAATAAACATAAACTGTATTATTTTGTTTCAGGTACTTAGCTACGGGTGATTCACATCAGACCATAGCCTTTTCCTTCCGAGTAGGTCGTTCAACAGTCGGTGGTATTGTAAAAGAAGTCTGTACAGAAATCTGGAATACATTACAACCAGAATATATGCCATCGTCTACTGAAGAGACATGGAAACAATCAGAGAAGGGTTATAGGGAAACCTGGAACTTCCTGAATTGTGTCGGTAGTATTGACGGGAAACATGTCTCTATAAAGTGTCCCAAAAATTGTGGATCAGAATATTTTTGCTACAAGAAGTTTTTTTCTGTAGTTCTTCTTGCTATAGTCGATCCATGTTACAAATTCACCGTCATAGATGTCGGTAGTTACGGGCGGCATAGTGATAGTGGTATATTCGAGAACTCAATATTTTATCGGCAATATATCCACGGAAAATCTCTGCTGCCAGATAAACCTCTTCCAGGCACCGAGGAGCCCGTACCTCATGTACTTATCGGCGACAAAGGTTTTGCTTTAAAAACATATTTGATGCGTCCATTCCCAAGAGCCACTACACAAGACGAAAGAAAAATAAATTTTAATAAAAGACTTTGCAGAGCACGTCGGGTGGTTGAAAATACGTTCGGAATATTAGCACAAAAATGGCGCATTTTTTAAGACCTATTGACTGTGATGTGGACACAGCAATTGATATCTATTATTAAAGCTGCATGTTGTTTACATAATTACTTACGAACAAAACAAGGTACAGCGATATTAACTCCGGAGTCGGAAGACGAAAACGTACCTATGCGTGCTCTCATAACTCATCGTCCAACAAATAGAAGATCAACGACTGCAGCATTCGAAACTCGTGAACAATTTGTGTCTTATTTTAATCAATAAACGATTTTTTTTACTTACCAGTTTCATTAATTTCTTCTCCGATTTGTGCCCACAATTTTGCCTTCATTGATATATCTTTATACGAACTATCCTTAGTATTATATAAGCATGGATATTTTCTAACCAATTCTATCAAATTTTCGGTCATTATGCAGTATTTTATTATTATTTTACACCTATTCACTCCGACGCTAAAATAAAATTTGTAAAAAAATACAACACCCGACGTTAAAGCGTCCTAACGCCGCGACAGAGCGTTGCGTACTGCTAGCGTCGGCGCTCTGTTTGACGGTATTCTACGAGGGTAGTACAACTAATGTTTTTAAATGTAAATAAAATATGAATACAAAAGTGTATTGATTGTATTTATTATTATAATAGTGTTTGTAAATAGATGATTTTTGTAAATACAATCAATGAACTTTTTAATACACCTTTAATTGATTTATAATTTATATTAAGAGCGCATATTCAAATATGTCCAAGTCGAAATCTACGCGATCGCTTTGGATCGGCGTAATATTGACGCACACTACAATGTTATCTCTGTGTGCGTGTCAGGGCGAGCGTGAGGCTATAATAGTTGCCTAACGACGACTACGAATCACTTTGATCTTTGATTATATACCTGTCTTTGATACTATTGGAACTAAAATAATAAAAAAATAATTTCCATATAATGGCTTATATAGTGTATAGAAATCGGAGGCTATATGTGGAAATTGTTTTATTCTTTTAGTAAATTGAAGTCGGCTTTACATTTTCACCCTATTGAGTATATTATAATATGTATATGTTCTAATTGAAAAATATATATTGTATAAAATATATATCATTTGATAAACTTTTATTTCATAATGTAAACATAATTCATCACAAACTAACAATTTCATTAGTGTCGGCGGGTAGTAGTGTTGCCAGGTCTAGCAAGTAAAATTTCGGGACGGAAGGTAAAAATAATCGGGGATTTGGTTTTCATATCCGGACAACTACAATGACTACAAAATATAGGTTTCTTTGTAGCCTTTTTTGTGCTTTATTGAGAGCCGTGGTAGCTCAGATGGTCAACGCTAACTGTAAAGTGTAAATATCACATGCGAGTAATGTGAGAAATTGTGACTGTAACTTTACTTTATTTTTGTGCTTTATAATTATTATTCGGGTCTGATCTCATAAACGAATAACTTTTCATCCAAACATCGTAAAAACTGATTTTGTTTTTCATTTTTAAGCAAATTAAAACATTTTTGAACTATTTGGTTTTTTTTTTTTTGCAGTCCTTGAATTTTTCAAATCACTCATTTTAATATAATTCTGTTTAAAACTTTTGTGGTTTTTTCGACTAGTGAGACAATGTCGTAGTAAAAATATTTTAATGTGGTAGTAGCTAACAGATATAATCATTTTTACTGTCTAAATTATGGATTAAAGTATAGAATAAGAATGTTAGTGAAAATGGGGACATTTGGCGTCCCGATCAAGGGTGAATCGGGACGTGTCACTAGACCCTTGAAAATCGGGACGTCCCGCGCAAATCGGGACACCTGGCAACACTAGCGGCGATCGAGCCCGGATTGTTCGCGTTTACGGCGAGCACTACGCCCTTGAGCTACTCAACTCAAGCACGGCTCATATTATGTTTTATGCCCCATTTACATTCAGCCCGTTTGGGCAGGAAAGTGAGCAGGGCAATATGTAAACAGGCTACTCGCGCTGACACTGCCGCTGCCTCTGCCACTGCCCGACGATCGCTCAAATGTCGGTTTTTCGTGCGGAAGTCAAAGGACGGGCAGCGCGAGCGGCAGTGAGTGTTCACATTCAGTTCCATCGCTCACTTCGCGCCAAGCGCCTGGATGAACGGACGTGCGTGCCGTCTTGTTATTAAATAAGTACGATCTACCAAAATGCCTTTCGAGTGAAATAATGAAAATACAACAAAATTTTTAGAACTGCTGGAATCAGAAAAAACTATGGGATTTCAACGATAAAAACCACAATTCATCATCTTCTACGAATACGAACTTTCTTTTTGAGATAACATTGTACCTATGTACAAAATTAATTATAAATTCGTCAAATTTATTATTTTAATATAAAATTTAGTTTAAGGAATTAATGAACACTGACATTTTATTTCTAAAAACGATTAGTAACTCATATTGACTATTTATTTATTAAAATGTAAAATAAGTTAAATGGTAATATTTGCATAATAGCCTGAGATTTTTAAATTATAATTTTATTGCAATTAAAATTATGAATTAATTTATACTGTAGTGTAATTATTAAAATAATAATAGCTTAACTAATCTCATATAATATTTAATATTATTTATGTAACAATAATGTAATAATTCAATTAATAATTTAGGAACAATTTATTGTATAAGAATTCAAATAGAGTGGATCTGTATAAGTATTTCATTAATACATAATATTTTAATTCAAAAAGAATGTTTGCACCTAACTTTTAAGCAATGCAATAATTTTAAAATATAACATTGGGTTTGTGTAATTAGCTGTATTTCATATCATTTTGCATGCCAATTATGGCAAAACATGTCAGTTCCACGTCATTGATCATCTTATGTACCATGTTTTTAAGCTAATAAATTTTCTATCTATATATCTATCATCTTTTGAACTTGATATCTTTTTAAATTATTAACATAATTTTGTATTGCAAGAAGACACAGCGCGGACGCTGTAATTATTTCGACGTCTGCCATAGTCGAAAGCCGAAAGCGATGTGAGTGGTAGGGCAGAGTGTGAATACACACTTCCCGCGATCCTGCTACGGCAGTATTTAGGGAAGTATTGCCGGCAGCGCGAGAAGCAGTGGCAGTGGCTGAATGTAAATGGGGCTTTATGTCTGGAGGCACGGTAGTGCCCCCGCCAAGTCGAGCAAAACAGCGGCACGGCCGTATCATCATTGCGAGACTTGGTTATTTTACAAGTTATGTTTTTGATGGCATGTCTTTGTTTAATCATAACGTTATCTCCGCACTAGGAATTTTTCCTAAGTACATCGTTGGGGCAGTTTAAATACATTAATTTCACAAGGACAAACATCCAGACCTGGAACAATTATTTGTAGGTAATACAAATTTTTGCTCAATGTGGGATTCGAACCTGCGGCGCTCAGCGCTACAACTCATTACCAAGTCACTCCGCCACGGAGCCAAAGGTGAAAGCCAACGATTTTGTATTTTTACTTGATCCGAATTGATTACGTTCATTACTCATTTCTAAAAAAATATGTATGAAATGAAAATTTGTCGCCATTACATCATTTAATATTTAAATATTACAATCATAAACATATTTCAAAATTACTTACTACCAAAAATATCGCTTATAAAAGTCTCAATCGTTTAAATTGCGCGATGGTGCTATAGGTAGCTAGTTATTATAGTATAGTGTAGTATATCCCTATCGGTGTATCAACGCGATCGCGCGGTGTCGGTGAGAAAAAGTGATACATCCTGTCGTTGGGATTACCCGGAGCATACTGAATCGAACGGTTTTTTTTTGCGCCCGAAGCAATTAAAGGGCTACCCTATACGTAGGGAGGCGGAAAATGCATTACGCATACCACGATAGCCGGTCTATCGTGGTTATGAGGGGCTCACTGTCCTACCGGGGACCCTAAGTGATACCCTCTAAAAACCGCCTTTGGGGACAGGCAACCGGCTGATTAAGCTCTATTGTGCCTTATCATGAGCGACCCTCTTTTGGGAAAAGAGGGCGCAGGCGGCTAAGAGCCGCTGAGGGAGTGCCTACGAAGGCAAATTAAAGTTGGTTAATACAATAATTTAGTTTAATTAGAGTTGGCCTGAGCCGCCAGGAGACAGTTCAGGTCGTTTGACAGTTTATTAGGCGGGTCCGAGAGAGAGTTTCTCGGCCTGCGGACACGATAGCGAGAGGGCGGTGGGACTGCATAAGAAGCTGCCTCACGAATTAATAGATTTGGGTGCGACTCTGAGACTTTGAAGAAGTTCTCAGAGAGTTTTTTAAGGAATTGTTGAATTGTTGGGAGCTCTAAGTCCCGATGAAGGTCGGCATTACGGACGTACCAAGGTGCGTTCGCAGCTCGACGGCAGAAGAGGTTCTGAACTATTTGGAGTTCATTTATAATGTTAGGGTTTGCGTGGGCAAAGACGGGGCCCGCGTAGGACATGACTGGTCGTATACAGACCTTGTAAAGGGTACGCTTGTTTCGAAGGGACATTTTACTGTGTCGGCCCAACATACTGTTGAGCCTACTCAGATAAAACCGTGCGTGACGGGTTACTCTTTGGACGTGGGGCCTGAAAGTAAGCCCTGTGTCTAGAGTGACACCTAAATATTTGGCGGTCGTATGCCAGGGGACAGGGGTCCCTAGCATACGTATTGGTGGAGTGTTTTTGAGACGGCGTCGTTTATAATCGAAGTGAACGGCGGAGCTCTTCTCCGGGTTCACATCGATGCGCCATTTTTTGAACCAAGCTCCTAGGTCATCAACTGACTTTTGGATCTTGTTCCGTATGAAGGGTAGTGAGACACCTTTGCAGTAGATGGCAGTGTCGTCTGCGAAGAGCGAGAGTTGAACACCTTTCGACGGGATGGGAATGTCGTTGGTGAACAGGATGTACAGCAAAGGAGCAAGTACTGAGCCCTGAGGGACACTAGCCTTGATAGTTCGCTGTGAAGAAAGCGTGCCTTCGTGTCTAAAACGAAAGGTACGATGTTTTAAATAGGAGGCCACGAGACGATCTAGACGATCGGTGAGA